TCAACAGGAGCAGATGAACAAAATCTCATCTTAAGCAGAAGGGAATACCATGTTTACAGGACCTTTCAGAACCATGAGCCAGAGTTTGACCACTTGAAAATTTCAGAAAGAGAAGAAAAGTTCCACAAAACTAGGTGGTTACCCGAGAAAAATTCTGCTCAGTATTGTCTACCAATAATAAAACAATACAATTATGGAAAATCAGTGAAAGGGACGAAAGACCAGAAGGATATAACTTGAAGAGGAAGATGGAGTGTGTAGAGATGCCACCTGGCTACTGCACTGTGAGTGCCAGTCTTTTGCTCCACAAAGAGCATCTGCCAACGCTCATACTTGTCACATCAACTCAATTCCTGTTAATAGTGATTTTGAAACATATTTATCTGCAGGTGATTTGCAGATTAAAATCAGGTCTTTGGCCGGGCACGGTGGCTCATGCCTGTAATCCCCTGCACTTTGGGAGGCCGAGGCGGGTGGATCACGAGGTCAGAAGATCGAGACCATCCTGGCTAACACAGTGAAACCCCGTCTTTACTAAAAAATACAAAAACTTAGCCGGGCATGATGGCGGGCACCTGTAGACCCAGCTATTCGGGAGGCTGAGGCAGGAGAATGGCGTGAACCTGAGAGGCACAGCTTGCAGTGGGCTGAGATCGTGCCACTGCACTCCAGCCTGGGTGACAGAGTGAGACTCCGTCTCAAAAAAAAAAAAAAAATCAAGTCTTTGGCATCTGGAAATTATAGACGGGAGTTTTAATGTTGTAGATATCAAGCCTGACAATATGGAAGAGCTAACAGGTGATTTCAGCTGCAGAATTCCATCTGAACAGCTGTAACACATCTGTATCTAGCAGCAGTAAAGGAACTATTTGCTCATGTGACGTGAGAGTGTCTGCCCTCTGTGATAGGCATTCTACGCTGAAGAACCTGATGATTCCAGCAACGGATCATTTTTGTCTGAAATCATCTCCTTTATTTCTGATGTAAAATTCAGCCAGAGTGGTCAAATATGATGATAGAGACCATTTGTTCATCAAAAGTTAGAACTTCAATATGGAAAACATGGCCAGGCACAGTGGCTCACATCTGTAATTCCAGCACTTTGGGAAGCCGAGGCGGGCAGATCACCTGAGGTCAGGAGTTTGAGACCAGCCTGGCTAACATGGAGAAACCCCATCTCTACTGAAAATAACAAAAATTAGCCGGGCTCAGTAGCACACGCCTGTAATCCCAGCTACTTGGGAGCCTGAGGCTGGAGAATCACTTGAACCTGGGGAGTGGAGGTTGTGGTGAGCCGAGACTGCGCCCCTGCACTCCAGCCTGGGCCACAGGGTGAGACTTCATCTCAAAAAAAAAAAAAAAAAATTATGGAAAATACCTGTGGAAATGTAACAGGTGCACGAGTAGCTCGGAAGTAAACTGTGCACTGTGTGAAAAGGACCATGTGTCTGACAAATTCCATGTTGTTGGAATGGATCTGACAGTGTTGTGACTGGGTCTTACGGTAATTTCAGAATGTTTGACAGGAACACAAAACAAGACCTAACCCTAGAAGTATCACGGGAAAGCAGTAAGCCTGGTACAATTCTGAAGCCATGCAAAGTCCGTGCAGGCAGCAAGCAAAAGAAGATGAAATCAGTGTTGACCGCCGAGACTCCAGCAAGGAAATCTTGTGTGAGCCTGGCACCCCAAGGAGAGTATCGTGCTGCAGCCAGTACAATCTGTGTGTGTTTCAAGACGGTAAAATTAGGGCTGGCATTCCTAGCCAGAGAACCCCCCTTCCTGCCTAGTTGCAGTGGCTGAATCAGCCTTCGTGATGATAAGAGCACTCTTTTGCAGTGCCCGTTTCCTGTGTCTGACAGCGAGTCACCAACAGCACGCCTCTACAGCTGCGTGAGGAGAGCTCCGTGCATCGCGCACGGTGGTACACCCGTGTCCGCTTGTGCCTTCGGGCCTCGTGGACTCAATTGCTCTGCACTGGCATTGGTTTCCTCCAGTCCTTACGCCCTCTGCTGTGGTAGTGTCAGACGAAGCAAAGGCCTTCAGTCACGCTGTGAGATTTAACTGTGTATCCTCATTCCTGTACCATTGTGGAGCACACACCCACCTTTTAAAAATTAAATACAAAAAGAAAACATTAGTTTATGATTTTCCTAGGGATTGTGCGAACAATCTTGGCTTTTAAAAGTCTAACGTAAATTTAATTTTCCTGATGATGCAAGGGCCTCAGCTCTCACCCAATCCCCCTTCTCCTGGCCTTCCCGCACCGCTCCTCCAGCCACACTGGCTCTCACTGCACTAGGCCCCACCATACAGTGCAGCCATGGACAGCTAATACTCATTTAGATTTTCCCCCATTTCCCCCTCTTCCCTGTTCCTCTCTGCCTCCCAAATCTCTGTGCTTCTATCAGGAATTATTTTTCCTACCTACAGGGAATTCCTTTATTATTTTAGTACTGGGCTGTTAGTGACAAATTTTCAGTTTCTGTTTTTAAAAAATACCTCTTTTTCTTGAAGTACATTTTCACAGACTCCAGAATTCTTTGTTGAAAATGAATGCACCTTAGCACTTTGAAAATTCCAGCCCTGGCTTATCGCCGGCTCTCTGCGACATGGGTGCCGGGGTGGAGGAATGGCTGCCTGTGTTCTGCTCAGGCCTCACTGAGGTCTGTGCATCTGTGCTGTGATGCCATTTGTTAGTTTTGTAGACTTCTTGGCTGTTCTGTCTCTAAGCTCATCTTCTGGACATTCTGGAGCGTCTGTCATGTGTAGAATGACTCAGTCCCCCTTACCCAGAAGGCCATAGAGCCAGATCGATCTGTGACAGCTTCTTCAGTTGCTCCCATTTCTGGTCCATGGAGCTCTTGGTCTTGTCTTTGAGTCATCTGTGTATTTATAACATACCTTAGATAATAGTGACAGTCCCTGCTCCCTGTGCACTGACATGGGCCATGCTCCGCTGGGAGCACTTTTCCTGTATTGTGTCACCTGCTACTTGCCATGGCCAGGGCTGAGGGGGTGCTGTTTCTGCCTCTCTTTTATACATGGGGAGACCAAGGCACAGAGGAATTAGGTGAAGAAGCAGGGTTGCAGGTCAAGGGTGTGCAGAGCTGGATTTAGGCCAGACTCTGAGCTCCTGACCCCTGTCCCATTGGACACACTGCTTGTGCCTTTGCCGTTTGGTATGTATGGGAGGGTGTTACACAGGAGCTCCTACCCCATCCGAGCCAGAGCCAGGTCTCCCCTCTGCTGGGTTTGAGTCCCCGCGTTACAGAGGAGCTCACCTCCAGGATGCTCTGCTTGGCCTCTGCCTCTGGGGACCTGGGAGTGGATTCTGGAGTGGGTTCCAGGGCCTCTTCATCTGCACCTGCCCCGGGTATTGGAGCTGGTGCCTTAATCCTGATCTAAGCCAGTCTACACTGTCTTCTAGAATTCTTCAGTCTGATTGATTCAAGGTATCATTTCCTGTTTTCCACCACAAATAGAGTATTTTTTCCTAAATTTTACTGTCATTTCAGTGGGATTTGGGGAGCCAGTGGTAGGTAGGTTGATGGGCTCAGATGACCGTCTTGACCTTCTACACGCTCACCGTCCTGAACCACAGAATGGGAGGAGGCACAAGGTTCTTCCTACATCTTGTCATTCTGGTGTTTGCCCCTTTCTTTGTTTTTGGTTTTGGATTTTGGTGTTTGAGGGGTTTGTTTGTTTGTTTGTTTTGAGATGGAGTCTCACTCTGTCGCCCAGGCTGGAGCACAATGGCATGATTTTGGCTCATTGCAACTTCCGCCTCCCGGGTTCAAGCGATTCTTCTGCCTCAGCCTCCCAAGTAGCTGGGATTACAGGCACCTGCCATCACGCCCAGATAACTTTTGTATTTTTGATAGAGATGGGGTTTCACCATGTTGGCCAGGCTGGTCTTGAACTCCTGACCTCAAGTGATCCGCCCACCTTAGTCTCCCAAAGTACTGGGATTACAAGCAGGAGCCCCTTTTCTTTGAACTGCTCAGGTGATTCTGGTTCACGGCAGCTCCATGCCTAGCACAGCTGTCACCTGGTGTTTTGTGCTAGCGTGGTCCTTGGTGGGGAAAGTGAGGGAAGGCCAGGGGTGTGGGGAGGCGAGGCAGGGCACCCTGGAGGCACTTGAGAAGGAAGTTGGCAGCGTCTGCATGAGGGCTTGTAACCAGACGCTGTTTTTTTTGTTTTTTTTTTTTTTTTTTTGAAGCAGAGTCTTAGTCTGTTGCCCAGGCTGGAGTACAGTGGTGCGATCTCGGCTCACTGTAACCTCCACCTTCCCGGGATTACACCATTCTCCTGCCTCAGCCTCCCAAGTAGCTGGGACTACAAGCTCCTGCCACCACACCCGGCTACTTTTTTGTATTTTTAGTAGTGACGGGGTTTCACCGTGTTAGCCAGGATGGTCTCGATCTCCTGACCTCGTGATCCGCCTGCCTCGGCCTCCCGAAATGCTGAGATTACAAACGTGAGCCACCACACCCGGCCTACCAGATGCTGTTTCTTAAACCTGCATCCTTTCTTAAGGTCCTTACACTTGCTTTTTAAATAACTCGACATGTACTTGTGACTACACAGTGGTGACTTAATGCTTGTCAGCTTATTTCATCGTTCTGATTTTAGTATGTCTCCACTGTGCAGGAGGCTGGGCTGGAGGCCTTCATTCATGGCGACCTTCTGCCCTCACTAAGACCCTTTTGAGGAGGGAGCGTATCTTTGCCGTAGCCCAGAGGGGCTCAGCGCCTACCAGGCTCTGCCTCCCAGCCCTCACCACTGCCCGGCACCGCCCTCAGAAGGAAGCGGCCAGGACGAGGGACTGTCCTGCTGATTGAAGCTGTGCCTGGCAGGGCCCCTGAGAGGCCATTCACAATGTACTGGCCATTTGAGTCATCTACAGCTAATTCTAGGTCTTGAAATACAGTTTTTAACTGGTGGCCAGAAGCATTTATTAGACGCAATAAATGTAGAGTTGTTTCTTTCTCTTTCAGACTGACGCAGATATCCAGGCATTCTTCATGAGCATAGGCAGTCTGTGTAAGAAGTACTCCAGGGAAACCTCCCAGGTGAGCTGTGGGGGGTGCGCTTGGTTCCATGATGAGCAGGTGCACTATCCCGAGACTGTGGAGCTGTGGGGGGTGCGCTTGGTTCCGTGATGAGCCAAGTGCACTATCCTGAGATCATGTGTTTTCTGTGTTCTGGAGGCAAGTTCCTTTGAAGATATTTGATCAGCAAATATTTTCTGCCAGAATATCTCTGTGGGTTGAATTTTTACTTTCTTAATGGTGAAACATTTACATACAAAAGGTTCTGATTTTGACAACGTTCATTTGGTCTGTTTTATTGTTGTTTTTGCTTTTGGTGTCACATTGAGACAAAGTGGTCTCAGTCAGCTCTGGGGTCCTTTTGGGTAAGATGCCCCCTCCCCATATTCACACCTTAGAATCTCAGGTTTGGGAACCCTCCCCACCAGGTCAGGGCTTTCTGGGTTCAGGGCAGCAGGTTTCTTCTTGACACTGTCCTTCTCTGACAGTCGCCTGGGGCCTTCTGCCAGGCTTCCGATCCTGCTGATCCCTGCATGGCAATGTTGGCTGCATGGGCCCCCCTCCTGGTAGCTGAGCCCCTGTCATGGCAATGTTGGCTCCATGGGCCCCCCTCCTGGTAGCTGAGCCCCTGTCATGGCAGTGTTGGCCCGTGATGCCCCCTCCTGAAAGCTGAGCCCCTGCCATGGTAATGTTGGCTCCATGGTCCCCCCTCCTGGCAGCTGAGCCCCTGCTGTGGAAGTGTTGGCTCCGTGGTCCCCTCCCCTGGCAGCTTTTGCCAGCTGCTGTGCCAGTCCTCTCAGTTGCAGCTTGTCCATTCTCTACCTGTTTCTTCCTGACCCTCCTCCCAGTTAGCACGCGCCTCCATGCCAAGCCTCCCCCACCCCCGGCTTCTGACACAGGTCATTGTCCTCTGTGCCCACCCCCACATGCTGAGTGGCACTTCTGGCCTCCTTGGATGTCACTGGACAGCTGCAGTCCACCAGTCTGGGGGACAGCTGCCAGGAGAAGAAGGGGTCCTTCCCCTGGCCCCCATCCCGCACTTCCTTTCCCTCTTCTGTGAAGAGTGCAGCTCCCACCGTTGGCCACCCCACCTGCCTTGCGGGGAAAGAGGCCTAGTAGGGGCAGCCAGGATCTGAGGCGAGACACTGAGGATGGACCCCCGCATGTCACTCTCCTTGGTGGGCTTGTGCCTTCAGGCCGTGGTCAGCCAGGTCACCAAGACTGTCCTCTCTCTGGGAGGTTGTCCCACTGCAGCAGCTTCCTTGGTTCTGAAACAGCCTGAATCAGCCACAGTGTCTCGGGCTGTCCCGGGGCTGTTCTGAAACAGCCTGAATCAGCCACAGTGTCTCAGGTTGTCCTGAGGCTGTTCCCATCTCAAGTTATGCTCAGTCACATCCTCTAGGGAGGTGCCCAGAGGCTCAACCCGTGGAAGCCAAGCAGCACCCGGAGATCCCCAAGAGTGCTGGCTCAGCACCACACGGGCACCCAGACCAGGATGCCGGCGCTCCCAGAGCCAGCCAGAGTCCCATGGAAACACCATCCAGGACGCACCTCATCCCCCCACCCACCCTGCTCCACCCAGCAGGACCCTCATTCAAGCCAAGTCCCCTTGGGGCCAGAAGTCGCTGGAGTTCATAAAACACGTGTGTTATCACAGACCTCGGAGCCACAGGCTGCACGCTGCAGGGTAGTTTTGCCAAGTGCCGCAGAGGCCAGGTGCTGTCTCAGGAGAGAAGACCCAGCAGACCCGACCAGCCCCTCCAGCCACCTGTCTGCTCTGCCTCTCAGGCCTCTCAGGCTTTAGGCATGGACCGTGGAGACGGCTGGCTCCAGCCTGGGCAGCACAGGCTCTGCCCAGTGACCTCACAGCCCCACTGTCTGTCAGTTACACTATGGAGGTGAGCGCCACAAGCACAGGGTGGAATTTTCCCGCAGCTACGTGATGTGGTATTGTAGTATTTACACTCTAATATCAACGTAACATAAATATTGGAATATTTGTTACATATATTAACACATAATGGATTTATTGTTATTTTTAAATGAATTAATAAATAGTTTTAAATTTGTCTCAGTCTTAATTTCTAATAGGGTAAATATCGACAGATAAAACCCACATAAGCAAAGCTCTTTGGGGCCTTCAGTAACTTTTAAGAGTACAAAACCGGCCCAAGACCAAAACTGTGAGCACCACGGCTCAGGCTTTGGGACCTGCCCTGGGACAGCGTCAACAAACCACCTCAGCCTCTGCCTGCCCCAGTCCCCCTTCCTAGTCTAATTGGTAACAAACATCTTCCTCTTCCCAGTAACCCTCTAAGATCCGTTCCATCCACCCAGCCTCTGCCCTACCTCAGGCTTCGTCAGCACTGAGCATGCAGACACTGGTCCTGGTGTGGTCAGGAGCTCATGTTGACGAATGCAGGCACAGTCCACTCTGTGGAGGGGAACTGGTAGTGAACTGAAGAGTCAGAAGTGTGCTTCGGACCAGGCAGCCGCCTCTCCTGGCCTCTTGGCGAGAGTCCGCATGAGTGACCTGCACTGTCTCCCAACTACCTTCACTCTCAGGCCTTCACAGCCTCCTGGTTCGCAGGATGTGGGCAAAGCACGCATGAGCACCGGGCAGCTCCTCCTTGGGGCCCTGGGCTGACCTGGCCCAGCACAGCCTCTGTGACCATCGCAGCCCTGGAGTTTTGCAGTGATTTCATTGACCTGTTTCTCTGGCTCAGTTCAAGAGGCATATTCTCTGCAGGATAAACACTCACCATCGCTTTTAAACTTTGTTTTAGTATTAAAATCTACCCTCTTCTGAGGCCACACCCAGTGTCTCAAGTCTCTGGGCCCCAACATTGGTCAGAGTCCAGGCCAGATAAACCGCGGAGGCGGCATGATGCTGCAGGCCCGTGTGGCTCCCCCTAGTGGAGCCCTGGAGGCTGCTGTAGACCCCTCAACACCCGGACAAGTGGGTCTTGGCTGCCCCCCAAGCTCATGTGAGGCTCCCCAGCTCTGTGCTCAGTTGAACTCACCCCATCTGCTGCTCAGGTCCCCTTGGAGACTTGCCCTGCAGCCCAGTCCTTGCTGCAGCCACACCTGCCCTGCCAAATCAGAGCCAGCCACAGACTGACCTCATCTCACCAAGGCCTTTCTCTGAGAACAGCGAGACCGGTACCCCCACAGTCGGGATCAGGCACGTCTGCTGGTAGGTTCCTCCGCAAGCATGTGAAGCTGAGGAGCAGAGGCCCTTCCCTGCAGGGTGGAATGTTCCTGCTGAGGGTGCTTTGGAGAAGCTTCCCACACAGGCACAATTGGGCGGGGCTTGGGCGCTTGCAGGTGTCCCCAACAGGCAGCAGGACTTGAGAAGTCTCAGCAAAGGTTGGAAAGGTGCCCTGGCCGTGGCCTGCGATGTGCCCGAGAACTGGAGTCAGGGCAGCCTGCGGAGTCCTTCTGTCCACTCCTCTTCATAGCCCATGGCGTAGTACCCAAGACTGTCTTCCCTCCTTGGTGGAGACGCGGTCCCCTTGTCGAGTAGGGGAGAACCCTAGAGCTCCGAGTCACTCCAAGAACGCAGCAGCCCGGAGACCACGAAGCTGTCATCCCTGCTGTCCTGTAGGAGGGCCCCTGTGCAGCCCCGCCCTCTGGAGATGGCCTGTCATGGAGGAGGTTGGGAACAAAGGCCTGGTGTGTGCTGGGCCTGCCTTTCCACAGAAGGGAAGACGCCTGCCCTGTGTTTGCACTGGGCCAGTGAGCCATGGGCAGACGCAAGCCGCTCCCTTGTGCTTGTGTTATCACCTCAGATGGCGGGGTGGAATGAAGTGGGGGATGGAGCTAGAGGACGCTGACTTTCAGTAGCAATGGAGCCACAGTTAGCCCTGTTGTTTGTCAGCCTTTCCAGCCTGGTCTTTCCAGAGGGTAGGCACCACTGTCTGAACACTTGACTCATACGAAATAGCTCTCTCTTCCTCTGAGGAAATCACAGGCCTGTCTTTCCTGCTTCTGGTGGTTCTCTCAGAAACCCAGTTCAAGCTGTCTAGACAGCATACATGAATCTGGGGCTCCTGTAAATGGGAGGGTGCTGGTGTCAGGCATGGCTGGCTCTGGGAGTGCAGACAGGCCCACTAGGCGTCTGCCAGCTCTGTGGGTCTCACTTAGCCTCATTCTGTGTGCCAGCTCTCTTTCCATCTGCCCCTGCCATTGGTCCAGCCCTGTTTGGTCAGGAGGCCCTTCCTCAAACCAGTGGCCATTATCAGAGGGACAGCACCCTGTGGTTGGCCCAGAGGGAGCACCACTCAAAACCTGAATGGAGCAGGTTGCTGGGGAGACTTTCCTGTCGTGCCTGTTAAGCCTCCCCTGTGTTTGCCTTTGGCCCTGCCTGCTGGCACTCACACCTTCTCTGCCCACCCGTGGGGGGTGTCTGCCCTGGCAAGCACTGGCCATGGGCATCTGTGGGGGCAGGACACACATAAGACAAGCACTGTGAGCTGTTCTGAGAGTCCCTCCAGACTCCTCCTCCCCCAACAAAACTTCCAGCCACAGAGATCATGTACCCGTGTCAGCAGCTGAAACATATGATCTTTTCAGGTTTCAGAATTTCAAGAAAAACACAGGAAGAGATTGTTAGCCTTCTATAGAGAAAAGGTAAGTCGAATAGATTCATTGTCACTTGAATTATTTTGACCTTTAGATTTAAATGTCAGACTTGTTAACACCTTGTTCTCAAAGGGGACAGGCTGCTAGATGCAATATCTGTTTCTCTGCGTGTTTCCAGCTATGGGGACATTGTCACTGTCCCCTTCTGACCAGCCTATTGGCCCAACCCTTGTCTGTAGTTACCAAGTAGCCCACTGGGTGCAGCACCACATGGGCCTCCCTGCCCAGCCACGTTTATCCCCTCAGCCACTGGGGTCAACCACGGGGTCTTGGGAGCTTGGGAGGCAGCTTGAAGGCTTCTCTGCTCAACCATCCCATTTTAAAAAACAAGTCCTTTTTAAAAAACTTTGAAGGTTATGTAGTCGGTAAAGTCAGGAACCCAGCTTTAAAGACAAGGGACCCTGGGGCCATTCCCTGAGTACGGAAGCCAGTGTGTGACCCTGCTGCCTCCTGTCTGTGCATGAACATTTTATGTACACCCAGACCTGGAGCAGACAGATCACCCTTGGCCCTGCTTGCCAGCCGGTCACCCCCTTCTTACCCCTTCCATCCTGTTACCCCCACCCTGTCTTGTCACCTTGCCCTGTCCTGTCGCCCCCATCTCACCCCTCACCCCATCCTGTCACCTCATCCTGTTACCCCATCCCTGTCCTGTCACCTCTAATCCCATTCTGTCACCCTTATCCCATCCTGTCACCACTCACACCATGTTGCTACCCCCACCCTGTCCTGTCACCCCATCCCATCCTATCACCCCTCATCCCATCCTGTCACCCCTCACGCCCACCCTGTCCTGTCACCCCATATCAGTCTGTCTTCACACTGCTATAAAGAACTACCTGAGATTCAGTAATTTATGAAGGAAAGAGGTTGTATTGATTCATGTTCAACATGGCTGGGAAGGCCTCAGGAAACTTACAGTCATAGCGGAAGGCAAAGGAGAAGCAAGGCATGTCTTACATACCAGCAGGAGAGAGGGCAGGGGAAACTGCCAAACACTTTTAAACCATCAGATCTCATGAGAACTCACTATCACAAAAACAGCATGGGGGAAACTGCCCCCATGATCCAGTCACTTCCCACCAGGTCCCTCCCTTGACACATGGGGATTGCAATTCAAAATGAGATTTGGATGGGGACACAGAGCCAAACCACATCATTCCACCCCAGCCCCTCCTAAATCTCATATCCTTCTCACATTTCAAAACACAATCATACTTTCCCAGTAGTCCCCCAAAGTTTTAACCCATTCCAGCATAAACTCAGAAGTCCAAGCCGGAAGTCTTATCTGAGACAAGGCAAGTTCCTTTCACCTGTGAGCCTGTAGAATCAAAAACAAGTTAGTTACTTCCAAGATACTATGGGGGTACAGGCATTGGGTAAATGTTCCCATTCCAAGTGGGAGAGATTGACCAAAACAAAGGGGCTGCAGGCCCCATGCAAGTCCAAAACCCAGCAGGGCAGCCATTAAATCTTAAATTTCTCCTCTTATCCGATGTCTCACATCCAGGACATGGTGATGCAAGGGTCAGGGAGCTCCCAAGGCCTTGGGCAACTCCACCACTGTGGCTCTGCTGGGTACAGCCCCATTCTGGGCTGGGGTTGAGTGCCTGCAGCTTTTCTGGGTACACAGTGCAAGCTGTTAGTGGATCTACCATTCTGGGGTCTGGAGGACAGTGGCCCTCACGGCTTCACTAGGCAGCACCCCAGTTGGGACTCTGTGTGGGAGCAACCACCCCACATTTCCCTTTTGCACTGCCCTAGCAGAGGTTCTCCGTGAGGGCTCTGCCTCTGCAGCAGACTTCTGCCTGGACATCCAGACATTTCCATACATCTTCTGAAATCTAGGTGGAGGTTCCCAAACCTCAACTCTTGTCTTCTGCACATATGCAGGTCCAACACCATATGGAAACCGCCATTGCTTGGGGTTTGCACCGTCTGAAGCAGCAGCCCAAATTTTTCCTTGGACCCTTTTAGTCATGGCTGGAGCTAGAGCGGCTGGGATGCAGGGTGCCATGTCCTGAGGCTGCACAAGAGTTGGGCAGGGGACCTCGGCCTGGCCCATAAAACTACTTTTTTCTCTCTGGGCCTATGATGAGAGGGGCTGCTGTGAAGATCTCTCACATGCCCTGGAGACATGTTCTCCACCGTCTTGGCTCCTCGTTACTTACGCACATTTCTGCAGCCAGCTTGAATTTCTCCCCAGAAAATGAGTTTTTCTTTTCTACTGCATGGTCTGCAATTTTTTCAGACTTTTATGTTCTGCTTGCCTTTTAAACATAAGTTTCAATTTCATATCATCTCTTTGTGAACACTTACATGACTTTACTTTCAGAAGAAGCCAGGTCACATCTTGAACGCTTTACTGCTTAGAAATTTCTTCTGCCAGATACCCTAAGTCATCTCTTTCAAGTTCAAAGTTCCACAGATCTCGAGGGCAGGAGCAAAATGCCTCCAGTCTCTTTGCTAAAGCATAGCAAGAGTGACTTTTGCTCCAGTTCCCAATAAATGCCTCATCTCCATCTGAGACCTCCTCAGCCGGAACTTCACTATCCATATCTCTATCAGCATTTGGGTCAAAGCCATTCAACAAATCTCTAGGAAGTTCCAAACTTTCTCACACCTTTCTGTCTTTTTCTGAGCCCTCCAAATTGTTCCAACTTCTGTCCATTACCCAGTCCCAAAGTTGCTTCCACATTTTTAGATATATTTATAGCAGTGCCTCACTCTACCGGTACCAATTTTCTATATTAGTCCATTGTCACACCGCTATAAAGAACTACCTGAGACTGGTTGATTTATAAAGGAAGGGGGTGTAATTGACTCACAATTCTGCGTGGCTGGGAAGCCCTCAGGAAACTTAGAATCATGGCAGAAGGCAAAGGGGAAGCAAGGCACATCTTACTTAGCAGCAGGAGAGCGGGTGGAGGGGAACTGCCAAACACTTTTAAATCTTCAAATCTCGTGAGAACTCAGTGTCATGAGGACAGCATGGGGGAACCACCCCCATGATCCAATCACCTCCCCCAGATTCTTCCCTTGACACATGGGATTACAATTTGAGATGAGACTTGGGTGGGGACACAGCCAAACCATATCATACCCCCACCACATTCCGTCACCTCTCAATCCCATTCTGTCACCCCCTTACCGCATCCTATTACCCCTTCCCTGCTTCTGTCACACCCACCCTTACCCCATCCTATTACCCCTTCCCTGCTTCTGTCACACCCACCCTGTCAGCCTCTCCCCTGTCGTGTCACCCCCACCTCATCCTGTCACTCCCCACCTTGGTTCTGTCACCCTCACCCCATCCTGTCACCCCACCCTATCACCCTCACCCCATTCTGGCACCCCCACCTATCCTGTCACCCCCACCCCATCCTCTCACCCCCACTTCTCTCCTGCCACCCCCAATGCCATTGTCTCTCCCCCACCCTATCCTCTCTCCCCCACCCTATCCTCTCACCCCCACCCATCCTCTCACCCCCACCCCATTCTCTCTCCCTCACCCCATCCTCTCTCCCCTACCCCATCCTCTCACTCCACCCCATTCTCTCTTCCCCACCCCATCCACTCTCCCCAACTCCTGTCCTGCCACCCCCATGCCGTTGTCTCTCCCCGACCCTATCCTCTCTCCCCCACCCCATCCCCTCTCCCCCATCCCATCCTCTCTCCCCCATGCCTTCTTCTCACCCCCACCCCATTCTCTCTCTCCCACCCCATCCTCTCCTCTCTCCCCCATCCCATTCTCATCCCCACCCCATCCTCTTACCCCACCCCTGTCCTTCCACCCCTATGCCATCCTCTCACCCCTATCCCATCCTTTCTCCCCCATCCCATCCTGTCACCCCACTCCATCCTCTCACCCCCACCCTGTCCTTCCACCCCCACCCCATCCTCTCTCATCCCACCCCATCCTCTCTCCCCCACCCCATTTTCTCATGCCCACCCCATCCTTTCACCCGCACCCCATCATCTCACCCCATCCCTGTTCTTCCACCCCCACCCCATCCTCTCTCACCCCACCCCTTCCTGTCACCCCCACCCCATCCTCTCACCCCCACCCAATCCTCTCACCCCTACCCCATCCTTTCTCCCCCACCCCATCCTCTCACCCCCACCCCTGTCCTGCCACCCCTATGCCATCCTCTTTCCCCTACCCCTCCCAGGCCCACCACAGCCCTGTGTTACTCGACAACCACCCAAAACCCTGCCTGGAAGCTTCTTGCAGGAGCCAGCCTGGGCTTAGCTTTTGTTATATTTTGTGTCTGTTGTCTCCACATCCTCCCAGCAAACCTCGAGGATGGGCATGAGTCATAATTACAGACTGGACAGTGGGATCCTAGACTCTAGTCATTCCCTCAGGGTCTGGCAGCTCCCACACACAGGGCGGGGTTCCAGCCTGACAGCAGAGGCTGTGCTGTGAGATGACCTGGCAGTGACCGTGTGTGGAAAAGGTGCTTGTGTCTGACTTTGAGGCTGGGTGCTCCCCTGGAAGGGCTGACACTGAATTTGCATCATGTCAGCTTGTGGAGGGTGCAGCGCTGAAATTTGTCTCCTGGGGCTTCGGTTTGACTTAGCTGTGCATGGCCCCCCAAGGCCAATTTCCTAAGTATCTGATGGACCAGACTCCAGGCAGATTTACTTATGAGCAGCATGAGGGCAACTCCATGCAGAGTAACCCACATTCTGATTCATGGTTTAAGAAATTTAGAGGGTCACAGTGTCGCTCAGCATAGCCTGTCTAATAACAAGAGGTTGTGCAATTATCTTTAGATTTCTAGGTTGGAAGAATCCCTTAGGAAGTCGGTGCTGCAGATAGAACAGCTGCAAAGGTAAGCCCCCGCCCTGACCCGCCGTGAGTGCGCAGTGGGGGCAGCCACTGCCACATGCATTGGTCTGACTCTCCAAGATGAAGAAAGAAAGACGACCTCAGATGCAGAGGGAAGAGCTCGTTCATTTACCTGAAACTTTTGTCAGAGCAAAAATGCTGTGGGAAAACCGAAGGGAAGAAGGGAGACAAAAAAGAAAAAGTGAAAAAGACATGAATGGTTCCCCTTGGGGCAGCTGCCCCAGTGATTCCTGAGGCAGTGGGAGGGGCCTGGGAGAATAGCAGGCACCCTCGGCCTCTCCAGAGGGACCCAGCACAGGCAGGGTGGCCCTGCGGCCAGGGACTGCGGGACTCTACCTGCAGCCTGGCGGCCTGCTTTCTGCCAGGAGTTGTAGCCGTTTGCGGAAGGTACATATGTGTGGCAAGTTCTGTGTCTAAAGGCACTGCTGTGAATGGGTGATGCATCTTAGGGAGAAACGTCCAGAGTTGCTAGGATTAACCAAAATGGGGACTTAAAGCATTACATTTCAGTATCTGGAAAATCTAGCCATTTGATAGCCTCCTTTCTTGTACATTTTAGCTCACCTGTGCCTTTGCCATATTGCCTCTGCTCTGAATGCACTTTTACTGCAGTCAGTGTTTCTGGAATTTGGAATCAGTAACAGCCAGAGTTCAGTTACCACAGTGATACACAGATGCTGCGCATTTTACACTCGGTGATGCCTTAGATTTTATGAGATATGTTGAATAGTCACAAGTCCCTGTTTGGTGGCTGCACACTAACGTGAAGGTCGAGGAGTCAGGAGCCCTGTCTGCCTCCCATTGGCCGTGTGTGTAGGAGTGGGTGAGCCTCCAGCGTGTGTGTAGGTGCCCGCCTCCCTGCTGTGTCAGGCAGCTGAGCATGGCACGGCCTCACTGGGGCCGTGGGGCCAGAGGGAAGCTGGGGACGCCAGTCACACTGGCTGGTGGCCCTGCTCCTGACACGAGGTTCTGATGGCCTCTGGTGAAAAGGGCTTCTTTCCCTGTCATTATTTTGGGCTCTAGGAGTTACCACAGGCTTGTCTTGTCAAGGGTGTGTCCCAGGCGTCAGCAAGGAAACTCCAGGCCAAATCCAGCCTGCAGTGTATTCTCTCCTCCTTCCTTTCCTTGGCTTTTTTTTTTTTTTTTTTTTGAGACAGGGTCTTCCTCTGTCACCCAGGCCGGAGTGCAGTGGTGTGATCTCAGCTCACGCCTCAACCTCCCAAGGCTCAGGTGATTCTGCTGCCTCTGCCTCCCAAGTAGCTGGGACCACAGGCATGCACCACCACACCCAGCTAATTTTTTTGTTTTTTGTGGAGATGGGGTCTCGCTGTGTTACCCAGGCTAGTCTTGGACTCCTGAGCTCAAGTGATCCTCCCACCTCAGCATCCCAAAGTGCTGCAATGGCCGACGTGAGCCACTGCACCCGGCCACAGCGTATTTTCATGTAGCCTCCAAACTGAGCATGGCTTTTACATTTTTAGAAGATTGTAAATGCATTGCAACAGAGACTTTATGTGGACAGCAAAGCCTCCTACATTTACTAGGTAGCCCCATTTGCAAATTCCTCCTTTAAAGCATCACAAGAGGAAAGGCAGATACTTAAAATGCATCAAAGGGGCTGGGCGCAGTGGCTCACACCTGTAATCCCAGCACTTTGGGAGGCCAAGATGGGCGGATCATCTGAGGTTGGGAGTTCGAGACCAGCCTGACTAATATGGAGAAACCCCATCTCTACTAAAAAAATACACAATTAGTCAGGTGTGGTGATGTATACCTGTAATCCCAGCTACTCAGGAGGCTGAGGCAGGAGAATCTCTTGAACTTGGGAGGCGGAGGTTGCAGTGAGCCAAGATCATGCCATTGCACTCCAGCCTGGGTAACAAGAGCAAAACTCTGTCTCTCAAAAAAAAAAAAAAAAATGCATCAAAGTGTGGAGTTACTTTCATTTTTTTCCTTCTTGGTGTATAATTTTCTTTAATTCTGTGGATTCGTGTTTTGCATCAATTCTGTAAAATTCCTGCCCATTATCTTTTCAAGTAGTACCTCTGCATCCCCGGCCACGGCCTGCAGCTCCCTGCCCTCCACATCAGCCTCCGCTGTGATCTCCATCGTCTTAGGCCACCTGGTCACATGCTGGTTGCTTCTTCCAGCTCCCGGATTTTCAAATTAAGCCAGTGAACCCCACTGAGAGTTTGTTTTTGAGACAGAGTCTCACTCTGTCACCCAGGCTGGAGTGCAGTGGCACAATCTCAACTCACTGCAAGCTCCGCCTCCCGGTCCAAGCAATTCTCCCGCCTCAGCCTCTGGAGTAGCTGGGACTACAGGTGCCCACCACCATGCCCGGCTAATTTTTGTATTTTTAGTAGAGACAGGGCTTCACCATGTTGACCAGGCTGGTCTTGAACTCCTGACCTCAGGTGATGCGCCCACCTGGGCCTCCCAAAGTGCTGAGATTATAGGAGTGAGCCACCGCCCCTGGCCCCCATTGAGTTTTTGTTCTGTCCATTACAGTTAACATTTCTAGAACATCCCTGCTCATTTCACCATTTGGAAAATAATCTTTGCTCATTGTTGCATCTTCGTCTTTTATGTAGTCATCTCACAGGCAGCTTTTTTATGTTCCTTACCTGATACCCTCAGGAATCCAAATCTGCCTTCTTTTCTTCCACTCTTGCTGGAGGAGGTGTGTTTCTGCTGATCTCTGGTGAGGTGGCACAGGTCAATCCCACTCCCTACATACCTAGTATCACCTGCATTTTCCTCCAGAGAGGATTCCCGTGTGCTCTGCAAGCCCAGCTGACCCGCCCCAGACCACTGCCCCCGACCCCGTCTTGCCCAGCCTCACTGTGGCGGCGTTCATGCTACCCACTTTTGTTGTCATCGTTGTTTTTGTCATCGTCCTCTTGCTCCCACGAAACAAAGTGCGTTTTAGAGTGGTTTGGAAGCAAGAGCAAGTGCCCTGCAGAGGAGCCAGGCCACAGCCCTGCCAGACGCAGAAGGTCAGGTACTTCCACCCACCACAGTCAGCCACACAACAGCCAGTGTTTACTGAGCACCAGATGCATTCTCAGTGCTGTTCTGGGGTCTGGCAATTCGGAGTAAGCCAAGCGAGCCAAGTGCCCGTCCTCTGGGAGCTTCTGTGTCGGGGGAGAAGAGGCAGAAAGTGAACTTTTATGTCAGGCCGGGACACAGGCTGTCGGGATAAGTGACTCTGGGTGAGGAGGTTGAGGGGCAGTGCCAGGGTGGGCTCTAGCAGGTGACTGCACAGCGGAGGTCCGAGTGGTTGAGCTGTTGCACAACTGCCTATTCCTAGCTAGCTTGGTCCCAAACTGAAATTGCTGAGGGCAGACTGTTCGCATCTCAAAACCCAGCCAGCATAGACGGGCACTCGGTGCCAGGAGACAGCCCCACCCTCATCTGCAGTCATGCACCTCAGTGTGTCCACAGAAACAGTGTGTCTGCGGAAACAGACACGCTCCCCCAGTCTTACACGTGCATCTCAGCGTGTCCACCAGGCCCCGTGAGGCAGAGAGGACCCAGGTGCAGCAGCCTTCTGTGACCGGGAGTCACGGGACACAGCAGGCGGTCTCTGCTACTGGCCATCATGGAGATCAGTCCAGGGTTGCTAGACCAGAAAACGTGACCAAGTGACTTGTCCATATTTCTCTTGCTGGCCTGTTTTTCTTTCTTGTCTTTTTTCTTTCCCTTTCCTTTCCCCTTCCTTTTCCTTTTTTGAGATGAGTTCTTGCTCTCTCGCCCAAGCAGGAGTGCAGTAGTACAATCACAGCTCACTGCAGCCTCCAACTCCTGGGCTCAAGCAGTCCTCGCACCCCTGCCTCCCAGAGTGTGGGGATGACGGACAAGAGGCACCATGGCTGGCCTCTTGGTGGCCTTTCAAAGCTGGTGCATTAGTGGCTCCTGTTGTCAGGTCTTCATTTCACAGCTTTAACACCAGCGGTGGCCGTGTGCTGAGTGACAGTTGTAGTTGCAAGAGCCAGTGATGTAAATGGCAGTGAGTGTTGAGTTCACTCGGCTTCCGCGCTGGGGAGGAGCAGGGCCGTAGGACTCACAGGACACTTTGGGAACCGCTGAATTCCTGTGAAATGCCCTTTGCAAACCCAGTAAGAACATTTCACTGATTCACTTTCAATTGGAATGACCTGGGGGGACATCAGTTTTTATGGTTTAATTCAATACCTTTTCTCCATCTATTTAGTATGAGATCATCACAACAAACAACTTTCAGCACAATGAAAAGTTCAGTTTCAAGTAAGTAAAATCATGCCAGAAAGAGAACAAAATAGAGATGCATGTTGCTGAATCACACTGTGTGCACTGACGTTGGCATTTTCGTCATCACTCTTCCAGCAAAGCCATACGGATGCCTGCTGCCACCTCACTCTTCAACCCCCGACAGGTGCGTGGGTCGCTCGCAGAAATCACAGGACCCGCAGGTCTTTCCGCCTCTGCACCTCCCTTCCCATCCCAACCCCATCCCCCCTCCAAGCCCCCAGGTTTTGCTAGTCCAGACAATTGACTGGACATCAACTCATTTTGGTACTTATTTCATATCCCTGTGAGGCTCAGGTCCCAAACTAAGTGTGTGATCCAGGCTTGCCAATCAGAGCACTCCATCCCTGCAGCCACAGTGATTGGTCTGGGAATGATCATGTGACCCAGTGTTCTGCGTGCCCCCTCCCCCCCCAGCTAAACTGGGGATCCAGTGCCCCGCAGCTGACAGCCCTGCCCTAACAGGAAATTAAGGGGCTGACCTGGTGCCTTTCATGGAATCCTTTCACCTGGTGGATGGCCTGAACCCGTTACCCAACCCGTGGCTGGGGGTCCCTCACACAGGAAACGTTCGTACTGGCAGATGCCCTGTGACTTGTGTCTGCCCCGTCTCCAGGCTATGCCTGCCGGGCCATCACTCTGGCAAAGGGAGCCCACCCTCATATTCCCTCCAGTGTCCCAGAGAAAACCCGGCCTGGGGTAGCTCCTAGCTCTTCAGATGCAAGGCACAAATTCAGTCCACCCTGTGAAAGGAAACACACTCAGATTTATTACTCACAGGTCCTGGATGGGGAGGGTGCCATGCGTGGGGAGGACAGTGCTCTGTCCACAGGTAGCAAGAGGCAGGAAAGAAGGGTCAGGCAGAGAGGGGGGCCCTGTGGGCCAGCACCTTTAATGAGGCTCAGGGCATCATCCAGGCAAGTTTCTCGTGGGGAGTTTTAATTGGTGGGTTTAGAGCAGGCAGGCACGAGCTCCATGGGTCCCATTGTGACTGAGGGCATCACTGTGGCACATCTGCATGGTCCATGCAGGGTAAGGGGTCAGCGGGGCCAGCCAAGTGGGTTTTGTCCACCCTCCCACAGGGAGGCGGCCACTGGGAGGCAAGTGTCCGGATGGACCACACTGAGGCACTGGGAGCTGGTGGAGAACTGAAAACTGTTGAAGGTGACTGAGCCCTGCCTCTGGTATGAGAAAGTTAAACCTGTCATCAAAATGGTTGCTGAGGCCACCTAAAATTAGAAAAATTCACTCCAGCCGGGCTGGACTAATGGGAGTCATCCATGGGACTCTTGCTGGAGCTGTTGGAAAAGAGTGAGCCTCTTTCTGCAGAGATCGCGAGCCATAAGGATGGCAGGGCTAGGAGGGGGCCAATGCAAAATGAATCCGATGTTTTCCTGTCTCCCTTTGGCAAATGAAGGAACTAGTGTGTAGTGAGCGTGCATGGTGTGGTATGTGTGGCCAGGCAGCGAGTGATAACAGAAATCAGTTCGGGATCCCACTCTCAGGACGTCCTAGTCTAGCAGGCTCCAGGCAGGCGTTGGCAGAGAGAAGAGACGGGATGGTCTGGAGGGAGAAGCCAAGTGTGCAGAGGTGCAAGAGAGGCATGTCAGAGAGAGCCCAGCCAGGGCGGGTGGGCCAGCGACCTCTGTGTCCTGGAGAGGCTACATCCTGGTACAGACGGCAGGTGGCCCTAAAGAGGGAGGGAAATGGCAGTGATCAGATGCCTCAGTGGCTAAACTCTGGCTGCAGCACGAAGCTAGAGGAAGATTTAGACATTTATGCATGGTCTCGTCTTGTGTGTATTTCAACTGACGTTATGGGTAAGTCCTGAGCTCACTCAAAGCCTTTCACTGTGTGTTTAACAGACTGGAGTCAATGGAAGTTGATCTCTCTCCTTCTCCGATTAGAAAAGTAAGTGCATCTCTCCTGCCGAGTTCCTCATTTCCCGTGTACCAGACGTGGCATTTCCCATTTTCCTCAGTACTGAAAAATATCACCGCTCATGCAACAGTAGACAGACTTTGCACAGCGCCCCTGCGTCATGTGCTGGCTCCTGCATCATGTGCTGGCCCCGTGGGTGAGGGGGTGGGCTGTGGCTGTAAGCTGGGTCATGAGAACCTTCCTGTTCTGCCTGAACGGCCGGGACTGCAGTTGCATCTGGAGAAACAAAAGCAAATGCAGACAGAGTGTGGCAGGGTCCCACGCAGGTCCTGTGTTGTTCCTGTGCAGGTCCCATGTTGGTCCTTTGTTGACCCTGTGTTGGTCCTGTGTTGGTCCTGTGTTGGTCCTGTGTTGGTCCTGTGTTGATCCTGTGTTGGTCCTGTGTTGATCTTTTGTTGGTCCTGTGTTGACATTGTGTTGGTTCTGTGTTGACCCTGTGTTAACCCTGTGTTGGTCCTGTGTTGTTCCCGTGCAGGTCCCATGTTGGTCCTGTGTTGACCCTGTGTTGGTCCCATGTTGGTCCTGTGTTGACCCTGTGTTGGTCCCATGTTGGTCCTGTGTTGACCCTGTGTTGGTCCCATGTTGGTCCTGTGTTGACCCTGTGTTGGTCCCATGTTGGTCCTGTGTTGATCCTGTGTTGGTCCTGTGTTGACATTGTGTTGATCTTGTGTTGGTCCTGTGTTGACATTGTGTTGGTCCTGTGTTGACATTGTGTTGGTTCTGTGTTGGTCCTGTGTTGAAATTGTGTTGGTCCTGTGTTAACCCTGTGTTGGTCCTGTGTTGTTCCCATGCAGGTCCCGTGTTGGTCCTGTGTTGACCCTGTGTTGGTCCTGCGTTGACCCTGTGTTGACATTGTGTTGGTCCTGTGTTGACATTGTGTTGGTCCCGTGTTGACCTTGTGTTGGTCCCGTGTTGGTCTTGTGTTGATCCTGTGTTGGTCTTGTGTTGACCCTATGTTGGTCCTGTGTTGACCCTGTGTTGGTCCCATGTTGGTTCTGCGTTGATCCTCCGCTGTTCCCATGTTGGTCCCGTGCTGGTCCCTGTTGGTGTCAAACAGAAATGGCAGCAAAGCTGGTGGCCCTGTGCTTTACCTGCCTTCAGTTGCTGTCTCATGAAGTGCCAAACAGTGCCAAAGAAGACAACAGTAAACTTTGTCAGGCCAGGAAAAGAAATGGGTCAGAAAAGCTAAGGATTCTGGGAAACAGGAAGCACCAACTTCAAGCTGGAGAGAAGCAAGACCAGAGGAAACCTGCCCGGAACTCAGGGAGACTCCAGGCCCCGCTCTCCCGTCGTCTCCCTGGGTCAGCAGAGCTCGGCGCCAGATGCACAGCAGCCACACACCAGGTGGCTCGGAAACAGGAGAGAGGAGGCAGTTTGGGAAGGACTCAGGGCAGTGAACTGCACCCCATGGGAGGGATCAGACCTTAAAAAACATGTGGGGCAGGAGGGGGCCAAGGAGCAAAGGCAGGAAAACCGAGTGGGTTCTGGTGGCAGTGAATGCCTGTGTTCCACAGTGCCAGTGATTGGCTTATTTGATTTATGTGTTGCTTCGTGTTGTGCGACACAGTGTGGCTCATTGGCAAGCACTGTTCCGAGCCTTTATAGATACAAACTCTGTCGTCCTAGCAGCCCTGTGACATGAGTAATCCCACCCAGACCCAGATGATGGAGGAACCTGGAGTCAGGATAAGAAGGCGGAACTGGACTCTGTAGGGAATGAAGAGCCGCCACAGCTTCGGTGAAAGAGAAACGCCAGTTCCTTGGCAGTTGGGTCAAGCACACGCGTCCTCTCCCTGCCCAGCTCACCTCCTCTATCCTCATGGCCGCACCCATACACATCGGCAGCACTGGAGCCGTGCTTCCAGAGGGACACACTGCCTCGTGGGTGCCCGTGTCCCGAGGCAACTGGCCCACACCGAGCACGCCACCTGCCCCCTCAGGCCCTGCTGGAAGCTCTTATGGAACCCTCCCCTGGGTCCCTGTAGGTCCCTACCACCTGCCTTGGCTCCCCCAAGGCTGGACACCTGCTTCCAGCTGTCTTTTGGTGCACTAGGACCTTGTTTAATGGATGAACTCACAGCCTCCAAGTCCCCACAGCTTAAGGAGGAAGAACTTGGTTCTGTCAGGTCAGCTTTCTACCTTTCCTTAGGATCTGAGTAATTGACGAGAATAGAGAATACTCAAGACTGGCAGGCAGCAGGCACGTCGGGCTCACGCCTGTAACCTCAGCACTTTGGGAGGCCAAGACAGGTGGATCACTTGAGCCCAGGAGTTTAAGACCAACCTGGGCAACATAGTGAGACCCTGTCTCTAAAAGAAAGAAAAGACTGGCAGGCTAAATTGATTGACACTTCACTGGGTGCTACTGTTGGAAATTATTGCTGAGGAACCAGAATGTAATGAATCAAAGTTCCTAGGTGAGGGGCAAAGACCAGACATGGGCACACATTTTCTTTGTTTTTTTTTGGGGGGGGGTGCGGGTTTTTGTGGTTTTTGTTTGTTTGTTTGTTTGTTTTTGAGACAGAGTCTCACTCTGTCGCCCAGGCTGGAGTGCAGTGGCGAGATCTCGGCTCACTACAACTTCCGCCTCCCGGGTTTAAGCAATTATCCTGCCTCAGCCTCCTGAGTAGCTGGGACTACAGGTGCGCACCACCATGTCCAGCTAATTTTTGTATTTTTAGTAGATATGGGGTTTCACCATATTGGTCAGGCTGGTCTCAAACTCCTGACTTCGTGATCCGCCCACCTCAGCCTCCCAAAGTGCTGGGATTACAGGCGTGAGCCACTGTGCCCGACCGGCACATATTCTGTAAAGGGCCAGATAGTAAAACGTTTGGATTTTGCAGACCAGACAGTCCATCACAGTCACTCAACTCTGTCATGGAATTGCAAAAGCAACCATAGAAAGTACAGAAGCTAATGGCATGACCATGACTGTGTTCTAATAAAACTTCATTAACAAAAACAGGCTGCGGGCCATAGTTTTCCCACCCCTGTGCCACACCAGAATGCAAATTTCAAGGAAAGTGTCTAAAACCAGTTTTTCACCTCCTGAAACGCCTTGTCACCCCGGAGTGGATGTGTGTAGCAGTTCCTTTGGAAAGAGCTCCCGTCCTCCCTGCCCCACATGACTGCGTGGAGTGAGAGGTGCTCCTGGTAACCCTCAGCCTGAGCAGAGGTTCTGGGGACACCACCTGTTGCCTCTGCAGACCGAGGTCTTCTGTGGCCTGCGGAGAGCAGTGTACAGGCCTCTTGAGGTGAACCTCCCACACTGTTGAGGGCTGCATAGGAAAGAGCGTTATCGGGGGTGCTCTTGGTGGGGTTCCTGCCCCGAAGGCTCGTCAGAGGGAGGGCCACAGTGCAAGTGTCTGTCATTGGGTGGACTTGGAGAATCAAAGCCAGTGCCATCCCATGAGAGCGCCTGGGACACAGCTGGGCCTGCCCAGAGAGGCTTGGTTCTTTTCCTTCCTCCTCTACCCTTGCTGCTCCAGGCCTGGGGACCTCAGGCTGCTGGCACTGGGGAGGAGGAGAAGCAGAGCCTAAGGCCCCCACCTTCCTGGACAAGGTGCCTGAGAAGGCGAGGGAGAGTCTGCTTTCACACGGAGATGGAAGTGTTGACTACGGTGTGAGGCTTGGCTGGATAATTTCTTAATTAACTTAATTAAGATAATTAACAGATAAATCTGTTCACCTTAAATGAGCATGGGATTTTCTGTTATGTAAAATTGACCAGGGTTAACGTATCTTTTTGAAAAGGTAAAATAATGACTCACAAATACAAAATGAATGCCATTCACATACTTCCTTCAGCTTACGAATTGGCCAGTCACAGTAGCTCACGCCTGTAATCCTAACACTTTGAGAACTGAGTCAGGCAGATCCCTTGAGCCCAAGAGTTTGAGACCAGCCTGGGTAACATGACAAGAGCCCATCTCTACAAAAAATTAGCTGGGCATGGTGGTGCACACCTGTAGTCTCAGCTACTGAGAAGCTGAGGTGGGAGGATCACCACCAGGAGGCTGAGGCTGCAGTGAGCTGACTGCCCCAGTGCACTCCAGCCTGGATGACAGAGTGAAACCCTGACTCCAAAAAAAAAAAAAGAAGTTTTGAGTTAATGAGGGAAACCAGCTGATAGAGTTTAGGTATTCATCCCTGCTGGCATCTCATGTTGAATTATAATCCCCAGTGCTGGAGGTGGGGCCTGGTAGCAGATGTTTGGGTCATGGGGGCAGATCCCTGATGGTTGGTACTGTCTTTGCCGTGGTGGGCGAATTCTCATGAGATCTGGCTAGTTAAAAGCATGTGGCACTGTCCCCCAGTCTCTTGCCTGCTTGCCCTGCAATGCGCTTGCTCCCCCTTGGCCTCCCGTCCTGATTGTAGCCTCCCGAGGCCGCCCCAGAAGCGGCTGCTGCCATGCTTCCTGTACAGCCCTCAGAAGCATGAGCCAGTTAAACCTCTTTTCTTTATTAATTACACAATTTCTGGTATTTATCACAGTGCAAGGATGGCCTAATACACCACCAGTTAAATGTGAAAACTGGTTTAAAGGAGAATCCAAAGAGCAAATATGTGTGTAGGCAGCCAGGAATGCAGATGTGAACACACCAATGGGTACACAGCCCCTCCCACATGGCAGGAACCAGTGTCTTGCCCAGCCAAGTCTGCCACGGCCCATGGACAAGAAAGATTTGCACCACTCTCTTCTGTAACTCACAGCTATCAGACAGCACCAGGACGGGGAAAGACACGAGCACTCGAATCTCTACGGAGATTTTCTCTAAACGGAGCAGCAAATGGAACGTAGTTCAAAGGGGCGGTGATGTCAAGGGGATTCTTAGGATGAACTTGATATTGAAGACATCCTAGCAGATGGGAAGGATCCAGAAATGATGGCATAGCAGCACTCCAGGCAGGTGAGAGGAAGTACCTGGAGCCTGTCCTGTTAAGGCAGGAATACGTCTGGTGTTCACAGGATGGCAGGCAGAGGCTGAAGGTACAGAGGCAAAAGCTCCCGGTTTCACAAGATTCTGCCTTGTTGGGGGTGGGAGTGAGGTCATGAGCTTCGGGTGGATGGGGAATGCGCCCCGTGGATAGCTCCATGAGACCACTGGCCTGCAGGCAGCTCAGAGGGCCATGCCAAGCAGGGGGGTGTCCATCCTTCCAAGGTTAGAGTCTTGCCAGCAAGCAGGAGCAGAGGACTGGCAGAGTAGGGCCAAGGGTGTGGCAGAGAGTGTCCCCGGAGCAGGGCGCTGCTGTGCTGCTCGAGAGGCCACGAGGACACAGAGGGGCTTCCATGGTGTACTGGAAGGGCCTGTGGATTAAAGGATCTGTGGGATGGCTGTGCCAGGGGCAGAAGCCAGGAAGGTGGGCAGCAGAGGTCTTGGCGGGGCACAGTTGATGACGGCAGAACCTGAGGACCAGCGGGGGTGAGGCAAGGAGCCTGGGAACAGGAGATGCCAGCAGTGAGTTGAGAGCCAGAGGAGCGAGCCCAGGAAGGGGCAGCAACTAGAAATAGCACCTTGCCATGCTGCAGGTCGCACTGAGAGGCAGGAGGGACTCAGAGCAGAGCAGCCTCCCTCACCAGTCTCAGAACCTGGGCTGGCAGCTGTGGATTCACAGGTTCCTGTGGGTTGAGGAGGGAGGGTGGCAGCAGCGGCCTTGTGGTTGCTGGGTAGGGTGAAGGGTGGGCACAGAGCAGGGCCCAGCACACACAGCTTCGAGCAGCGTTAGCTCCACCCTGTCTGTCGGCATCTGGACTTCAAGGTGACAAAATTATGCACCCAAGAATGATTTACTCAGGATTTCACATTCTCTAACATCAGCTGCAGACTTCGTTTTTTTCACCTAAAATTCCTAGTAGAGCCCGTTATCCATTCACCGTTATAGGCCCTGGTGGAACGGAGGGAATCAAATAGATAATACCCACCCACACCCCTTCTACCACCAGCAGGCAGAGTCGGGAGATGGACACAGAATCAAATTAGACAGGATCTTGTCAGAGGGCGATAAAGATGAGGGAGATGGGCTTCCAGGAAATGTATTCCTAACAGACACTGGGAGTCTGAATCTTGTAAGCGGCAATATTGGAATTTTATCCATTGTTTTCTTGTTGCATTCTTAGTCGGAGATAGCAGCCGGCCCTGCGAGAATCTCCGTGATTAGTCCACCTCAGGATGGACGCATGGGTAAGTAAAATTTCCTGTAACCTTACCTCAAATCAATACATGTGTCAATTAAAATATATTCCCTGAGGCCGGGCGCGGTGTCTCACGCCTGTAATCCCAGCACTTTGGGAGGCCGAGGCGGGCAGATCACGAGGTCAGGAGATCGAGACCATCCTGGCTAATTCCGTGAAACCCTGTCTCTACTGAAAATACAAAAAATTAGCCGGGCGTGGTGGCGGGCGCCTGTAGTCCCAGCTCCTCGGGGGGCTGAGGCAGGAGAATGGCGTGAACCTGAGAGGCGGAGCTTGCAGTGAGCCGAGATTGTGCCGCTGTACTCCAGCCTGGGTGACAGAACAAGACTCCGTCTCAAAAAACAAACAAATAACAACAACAACAACAATATATGAATATATATATATATTTTTTTTCTATCTATTCTATATATAACTATCTATCTATCTATCTATCTATATATATTCCCTGAAAGGTCATGTTTAATCAATCAGAGTTGTCAGAACCTACCCAAGTGGGTGTTGTCCTTCCACCCGGTGTGTAGGAGGCTACATATTTACCAAAATGGTGCAGCGTTTGAGTCCCAGGGAGAAGCTCCTGATGACCGTGTAACAAGTCACAGGAGAAAACTGGCCCTTTTGCATTCTCTGTCCTCTTGGTTTTTAACAAAAATAGTGTCACTGGGTTTGCTTCCTGGTAATTGGCTTTGAATTGCTGGTCCGTTTTCAAAGTGAATCCCTCCCTCAACCCTCAGCGCACATCGGCCTCAGCCCACACAGGCCATCTCCCCGCACACTGTCTCCTGCATCTCCACGGGGCCACGTCTAACAGCTTCTTTCTGTTTCATCCCATGGTTGACCTTGTCTAAGCCCCCTGTTCCCAGAGTGTGTGTCGTTTGCAGAGGTTCACCGTGTTTCTGCATAGACGTCCGTCCTCACTGGATGCTCCTCCTCGCATTCAGTTCTGGAAGGCACAGGGAACACACCAACTCTCTAAACGCTTCCGATATGTGCTGAGGTACACAGGGCCGCCTTGTTTCTGTCCCAGCAGGCTGAAGGCACCCTGGACACGCTCAGAACACTCACTGTGTCTGTTGTGTTTCCTCTTTGCCAGTCTGAAAGGAAATAGTAATTTTGATTTGCATTTATGTGACTATTAATGATTCTGAGTGTTTTAAATTTATTCCTCTGTGTTTTTTCTATGAATTATCTGCTTTACTCCTTTGTCGTTTATGTAGACCCCTCAGTGTGCAGGATATTAACCTTTTACTCAGTTTGCTTTGTAATTTTATATTTGACCTTTGAATTTGAGAGACTTAATATTTTTCTGTACTCAAATCTAGTCATAGGGTCTCATGCTTGGGGAGGTTTTTTTCACATACCTAAATCATTTTCTTCTAATTGAATGGTTTTTTAAACTTCTTCTTAGAGCAGTTTTAGGTTCACAGAAAAATTAAAAGGAAGGTACAGATTTCCCATATATACCATGACTCCACACATGCACAGCTCCCCCATCCCCATCCCCCACCAGACCAGCCGATGTGTTAAAACTGATGATGCTGCATGAACACATCATTGTCACCCGGAGTCCATGGTTTCCATCAGGCTTCACTCTAGGCATTGTATGTTCTATGGGTTTGAACAAATACACAGTGACGTGTATCTGCCATCGTAGCAGCATGTGGAATAGTGCCACTGCCCTAAAAATCCTCTGTGCGCCACCTGTTCATCCCTCCCCCACCTCCCACCAACACCCGAAAGCCACTGATCTTTCTATGGTCCCTTTTTCAGACTATCCTAGAGTTGGAATTATACAGTATGTGGCTTCTCAGATTGACTCCTTTCACTTAGCAACACACCCTTACGGTTCCTCCATCTCTTCTCATGGTTTGCTAGCTCATTTTTTTAGTCACTGAATAATATTCCATTATCTGGATGTATCACAGTTTATCATTCACCTGCTGAAGGGCATCTTGGTTGCTTCCAAGTTTTGGTAATTAGGAGTTAAGCTGCTATAGATGTCCATGTGCCAGAGTTTTGTGTGGACATGTTTTCAGCTCCTTTGGGTAAAGACTAAGGAATGTGAATGCTGGATCAGGTGGTGAGAGGGTGTTTAGTTTTGAAAGAAATTGCCAAACTACCTTCCAAAGTGGCAGCAGCTTTTCGCATTCCCACCAGCAACGAATGAGAGTTCCTGTTGCTCCACGTCCTCACGTTCCGTGATGTCAGTGTTCTGGATTTCAGCCAGCTGATAGGTATGTAGTGGTATCTTGCTGTTTTATTTTGCGTTTTTTTGATAATGTATGACTAGGAGCATCTTACGCTGATTTTTCATCTGCATATCTTCTTTGCTGAAGTGTCTGTTAGGGTTTTGGCCTATTTTTTAATTGGATTGTTTTCTTATTGTTGAGTTTTAAGAGTCCTGTGTATATTTTGGATGACAGTTCTTTTTTTTTTTTTTTTTTTTTTTTTTCTGAGACGGAGTCTCGCTCTGTCACCCAGGCTGGAGTGCAGTGGCCGGATCTTGGCTCACTGCAAGCTCCGCCTCCCGGGTTTACGCCATTCTCCTGCCTCAGCCTCCCAAGTAGCTGGGACCACAGGCGCCCACCACCTCGCCCGGCTAGTTTTTTGTATTTTTTAGTAGAGACGGGGTTTCACCGTGTTAGCCAGGATGGTCTCGATCTCCTGACCTCATGATCCGCCTGTCTCGGCCTCCCAAAGTGCTGGGATTACAGGCTTGGGCCACCGCGCCTGGCCGACAGCTCTTTTTTGTGAGTCTTTTTTTTTATGACATTTCTTTATCAGATAAATATGTATCTTGAAAATATTGTCTTCCATTTTGTGGCTTGTCCTTTTGTTCTCTTGACATTATCTTTCACAGAATAGAATTCTTGTAGTTTTTAATGTTTACCTTCTTCCAAATTCTTTGAAGTTTATCTTGAGGTATGTTGTAAGATGAGTTTTTTAAATAATTTATTTTGAAGATAATTCAAGCACACAGGAAAAATTGTAAGAACAATATTAAAAAAAAAAAAAAACTCCAATATCTCCCCTCCCAGATTTCCCCAAATGTTAACATTTTGTTAATTTGCTCCCTATCTGTCATCATTGGTATTTCTCTGAACCTCTGAGCATGTTACCAATGTGGTGCCCTGGCACTGCTAAAAACCAAGAACACAGTCCTACAAAACCATGCGCAACGCAGCCCACGTGTTCACACTGACACGGCACAGTCCTACAAGACCACCCGCAACTCAGCCCACGTGTTCACACTGACACGGCACAATCCTACAAAACCACCCGCAACTCAGGCCAGGCATCCACACTGACAAGCACAGTCCACGCTGACACAGCTCTACCATCCCGTCAGCAGTTGCCAAGAGTTTCTCTTCTCCTCTGGTCAAGAATCTCATGGAAAGATGAGCTACATCCAGCTGTAACATCTCTTCTGTCTCCTCTGGACTGGAACATTTCCTCATACTTCTCTTTCTTGTCCTCAATAGTTTTGAAGAATAATTAGGCCTCACATTCTGAAGGGTGACCCATAACCTGGGTTGTCTGGTATTTCCTCAGGAGACCAGACCATCCTCTATTGGCAGGAATGCCCCAGAAATGCTACTGCTCTGCTTCGCACATCGGAGCACAGAGTTGACCCATTCTGCCACAGGGACGTTAACCTTAGTCACCGGATTGATTCTTGCAAGAGGACGTTCACCTTGGTCTCCTGATTCCTCCAGGAGATGTTCACCTTGGTCTCCCGATCCCTCCAGGAGGATGTTCATCTTGGTCTCCCAATCCCTCCAGGAGGATGTTCACCTTGGTTGCCTGATTCCTCCAGGAGGATGTTCACCTTGGTATCCCAATCCCTCCAGGAAGATGTTCACTTTGGTCTCCTGATCCCTCCAGGAGGATGTTAACCGTGGTCGCCTGACCACACAGGCATCTATCAGGCTTTCTCACTGCAGTCACTACGTTCCCCCATAATGGATGGGTGTCTTGTGGAGAGATAGTCCAAATGACACTGATACCTTTTTCCTCATCCGGCCTCACGCCCCCTGCCCCCCAATCAGCCACCACTCTGATGACTGCCTCATAGCAATTTTTCCATTTCCACAGTTCCTTCTATATGTATTAATTGTCATCCTACTATAAAGAAGAGCTTTTTCTTTTACCCAATTCAGGTATCTATGTATTCACTAATTTATAACAATATGGATTGATAGATTTCCTTTTTTTTTTGAGACAGAGTCTCACTCTGTCGCCTAGGCTGGTGTGCAATGGTGCAATCTCAGCTCACTGCAACCTCCGCCTCCTGGGTTCAAGTGATTCTTGTGCCTCAGCGTCACAAGTAGCTGGGACTATAGGCGTGTGCCACCATACCCGGCTAATTTTTTTTTTGTATTTTTATTAGAGATGTAGTTTTGCCATGTTGCCCAGGATGGTCTCAAATTCCTGAGCTTAGGTAATCCACCTGCCTCGGCCTCCCAAAGTGCTGGGATTACAGGCATGAGCCACTGCGTCCAGCCAGATTCATAGATTTCTATTTTGTTCAGAGGTTTGTATTTTCTGCTAAACTCCTCCCAGATATGGTCATGTTCAAAATGCATTTTTAAAACGTCAACCAGGAATTCTGTATCCAGTGAAATTAACATTTTAAAATGAAGACTAAATACATTCACGGAGTAACAGAAGCAGAATTCATTGCTAACAGACCTGCCCTACAAGAAACGTAAAGGAAGGCATTTAGGCTGATGCCACACAGTAACTTCAGTCTGTTAGAAGGAATGAAGAGCATGGGGAATGGTGATTATGGGATGAGAATAAGAGACTGCATTGTTAATTTCTTTTATCTTCTCATTACTTTACAAAACACAAAATTGAAGCAACGATTATAACGTTGTATTGTTGGAGTTACAACAAATAGATGTAACATAGAGGATAATAAGCACAAAGGAAGAGCGAGGAGATGGAGCCACAGCATACATAACTCTAAAAAACACAGCTGAAAAC